CATTCTTTGAAAAAATTTCTATGCTTACCTTGTCTTTATAAGTATCAAAGCACCCACAACTTAACTGTCACTGAATAATCCCTCTTTTTGTCAAGTTATTTTCTCTTTATTTCTGCATGTAAAGCATTGCAGTTGCTCATGTTGGTTCCCCTTGTGATGTCATCAATGACCGCGCCCCCTAACAGGAAGCAATGGTCACCAGCAAATTTAGCAAGCTCTAACTTTCCCAAAGCAAGTCCAATGTAAGAATGCAACTAGGAATAGTCTATTTGAGTAGTGTACATTAAAAATAAGCAATAATCTCAATTTTCATTTTTGTGTGCAAGCTTCTCTTTAATTTTGTATGTTTGTATCAGTGAATCAAATATAATAACAACATACCTTCACGATTAAAAACATAAATGCTACAAGTAAATTTCTATTCTAGTCTGCTCCAACAATTACTGAAATTGTAAATTGAATGAAATAATGACAATATTTACAACAACAATGATAACAATTCTACCATGCTTTGTTGTAGCTAATTGATCAATCAGATTGCAATAGCTTACTTACCACCATTGGTAGAAGTTGGTAGTCTGTGTCAGTATCTATGGCCAATGGCCTGAGGTTGATAAACCAGATATGAGCACCAAGGTTAATAAGGTATGATTAATACCATGCATGTAGATACCTTTGACCTCATTGTATAACCTGTACTAACAAAAATACAGGAAGTACTACTAGTTGATATAGGCTACCAGAGTAAGCCAAATAGTGGACATTGGCTTCACATTTGGATGAGGCTACAAAATAGCTTATATCAGCTTCATACCTGCCAAAAAACTAAAAACATGCACAACAAATCAGAAAATTCAAGAGAATTCTCCACTAGCAATTTTAGTGAAATACTTTGCAGTAATTATTGGTCAGATATTTGAGCAACTTACATTTAAAATTCATTAAAAACAATTTTGATCGGAGTCTACTCAAAATTAAATTTCTACACAATGTGCATCAGAATATTTATAAATGAAGAATTTTCTGATAGCCATTTTTTATGAAACTTGGCTAAAAACCTGTACCATAGTACAGGAACTTTGGCCCAATTTTGGAGCAGCTTAAAAATTTATAAAAATCTAATTTTGTTTGAAATCAGCTCAAAGTTTCTACACAGCATTAGTATGTGTATATGCATCAGAAAATGCTCGGTACTAACAATTCAACATTAGTCTTATAAGGCTAGACTGACTACATCAATATCTATAATTGCTTTGTCATAGGCTTTGCTTGCTTAGGCACATTCTTCTAGTATCATAATTTTTTCATGCTCACTCCCAAAAAATAAATATACATTAGGCCTATACAATTTTAATTTCACTACTGATCTCTTAGGTACTCCAGTCCTTTACTTATTAACCCATCATGTACTCTTGTTATTAGTTATTACAGAACCAAATCATGTCCAATAAATCCTTTAATCCTAGATTCAACTGCCCTTTTATTCACAGCTCAATGTCTCAATTAGTGACCTGCCTAAGTACCTTTCTCACTGTATACAATGAATGATGAATATCATTAACGATATTACAATAGGCTTGTGCTTACATCTATATAGTCTGCTTTTGTACCAGACATTTGCACCATATCTCAAAAATTCATGCACAATTTTCTCGAAAGATTTTATGCCACCTTGTTAATGCCTAAAAGGTGTGAACAAGATTATAGTTTACATAAGAAAGTGGAGCACTTGAATACATGTATAAGCACTAGTCCAGACTATATAGTTGAGCACCTGTTTGCGACTTTCACAATAAATCATAATTAACAATAATTAATATTATTATAAACAAAGGAAGATTATAATATTTACAATAGTAACCAGAAAAATTAACAACGAAAATCAATTAAATCAGACAGTGTTCCTGAACTGAATGAGTTTTGATAGGCTGGAAGGAGGAGAAGCAAACTGGAGGAAAGGATGACGGAGTAATTCACTAGCAGTTGCTCTCTCCTCACTATTGTACACAAGAGCCTTAGATAAGAAATCACGAAGACGTGGAGATATCTACATAGGAAGAGAAAAGAGAAAGGAATTTTAATAAAGATTCATTTTCATAATCCAATTTGATTATAATTGCAACAATAGAAACTACTAAAACAAAAACAAAAAACACTATTATTATTATTATTGTATGCAACCAAAATTATCATTTGACACACCCATATTATTTCATCATTCTCAACATTTACTAAGTATATTAATGCATCTAAACATCATTCAATTTTCCCAACAATCCAATATTACTGCATCAATTTTCATTCTCTTACTTTTTCAGGCGATTTTGAAGTAGGAGGAGGTAGTGTTCTAATACAGTTCATGGCCTCAGATGCAGGTAGATTGAAGTAAGGTGGCTGCCCATCAATCATCTCTATAACCATGATACCCAAAGACCATATATCAACCTATGCAGAGAAAAAAAATGATTATGATAACTTTAAAATATCATTGACTTTCAGAGTAAGAAAACATTCACGGAATCATTAAGTAAACTCAATAGATAGGCAAAAATGCTTTTTAGGAGGTACATACATGTATACTGCATATGTGGTGTGACTGATTGGGGCATTAGCCAAATATGGCATTATACAGTTGCATAACGGATCGTCCCTTTAACTTCATTAACTGAATAATCAAAGGTTGTTAATGAGCTATGCCTCAAGCATACAAGCACATAACATACAGCATACATAATATACATGTGTTTAGCATGAATTAAACAAAGTACTAAAGCATAGTAAGCAACATAAAAAGATTGTGACGCAGCAAAAGGAGAACTATTGCATAACAGACATCCAAAAATTTATTTAATTATAAAAATTCATGTTACATACCTCAGTTCCATAAGGCTGCTTCGAGATGACCTCAGGAGCCATCCAGTATGGAGTACCAACTAGGGACTGTCTCCTCCTTTGCTTCTGATTGATGCGTGCACAGTATCCAAAATCAGACAATTTAACAGTTCCATCACTCATCAGTAGTATACAGTCACTCTTGATGTCCCTGTGGATGACGCCATTAGAGTGAAGGTAGGCCAGGGCCTCAAGACAGCTCTTGCAAATGGCAGCTATTTGACTCTCTTGAAGACTAATGGAGAGAGAGAGAGAGATTAAGTAATTGGAGCTTTTTTATTATTATATCAAGTACTTACTGCACTCTTCTGATAATATCTGTAAGTGATCCACCGTCAATGAATTCCATTAGGACCCACAACTCCTCATCCACCAGATAGGAATCATAATAGGTGACTACATTATTGTGAGGATACTCCTTCATTATGATCACCTAACGAGAAAAAGAGAGACCAATAAATTCAATACTACGCTATTAACATTATAAAAAGATCAATAAATTCAATGCTACATCATTAACATTAATACAACACCACAAACTCTATATCATTAATTAACTATTGTCAACCAGGTCACGTATATACTCCCAATACAAGTACAAGTACATACCAAGACACACGCAAATACTAATACTCAACAAGTACAACGTAACAGGTTAAGTAAACTAATAGTTGGTTTAAGGAGCAGTCACTAATAGCCCATCATACTACTACTACTACTCTAACACTAAGTTTGAAAAAGAGTGGAGAGAGGGAGAGGGGGAGAGTGGGATGGACGGAAGTTAGTACAGTGGATACGTGCCTAATACTATACACTCAATGTGTTACTACTTTGTTTGTGTAGGACTAAATGTGACAGTGTGATCAAATACAGTGTCTAGAGTAGCTCAAAGGAAAGCGTACACTCAGCGTTTATGATATAAAGGATCACACACACACATAATTATCAGGCTACCCACACGCTTGGCAGAAACAAGGCAGTGACTCAGACAACCTACAACAAGTTCAAATTACAAATCAGGAGAATAATAATGATACATAAGGAGCACCACACATAAACATCAAAATATAGAGTCTATCACTGCCTAATAATAATACATACAAATCCAATTAATAATAGTCTCAGACAAAATATACACTTTGCACAATGGGAGTATAGTACTATACTAATGGTAAAGGCTTAAGAGGATATGATTACATAAACAGGTAGGAGAGTAAAGAAAGACCAGGAAAAGATGACATTTTGGTATAGTGTAGTTAAAAAATAGAAGCCAAGGAGTCTTTTATAAAAAATACCCACTCCTCAGAGAGGATTAAGAGAGATAAAGCGAAGCCAATAATCTTTATATCAAGGGATGCCAAGCTAGTGTTGTTGACTGGCTTATAATAGCAATATTTACATACACATAATAAAGATAAAGGTCTTTGAACAATATCTTATTATATTAGAGCACTTTCAACCAACTGAAATCATTACCACAAGAGTTCAGGAAGCACACACACAATACAAGAATACTATTGTACTTTAGTTTAAGATTATCTAGTGCATGGTGTCCTGTTGGGGTGCCTAAAGCAAGCAAACACAGTTTGCACCTCACTGATTTCATCATAATTGTACAGTGTTAACTAGGAAACAGTCATCAAGACTGCCCCCTTCTACTTTTAAAGGACTATACACAACTGAACCTTTCATAGTCACTCTTCGTATTAACAAGAGAGAGTGTGCGTGTACATAATATTCAAGTAGCAAGTTTTCATAATAACAATAATTGTTACTAAACAAGCTGAGTGTACGTGTTATGTGTGTAGTGTGCCAGTGTCCAAGAATCAGTATATGTGACATACACAAACAAACAACAATCATTAGCATACAACACAATACATACGATAGACAATAACAACAAGTACAAATCATGAACACAGGAATAGGAACAGAAAGTGTGCAGACTAATAATACAATAAGTGTACTAATATGCATGCTAAACAACCTCTCTAAGGTTTAAGTATGGTATGTGAAAGAGGATACCACACTACATACTAAAATATTATTGTGAAAACATAGTGGGCAGTCATTGACAAACAGTCCACAATACATAATAAGCATTGATTGGGGTAACAAGATTAGCTAATTGATAGGCGCTGCTCCCTTCGCCGGTCATACTTTTCGCTAAACGCTCAGTTTAGAGCATACATGTATACATGTACATGCAGACGATCGAGAGATGTGTGCCTGACATTGCTAGGCAACAGGCTAATTGCTCTAAAGACAGATCATCAGTGCTCATAAAAGGATGCTGCATTGCTTAGGCTTGGAGTACTAGGAAAGTACACATCAATTAGTCTAGTGATCGCTCCCTCTCTCCTCTCTCCTTCTTTCTACTGACACCTCCCACTGATACAACTACAACAACAGTTAGTATACTCATCACTCGAGGCTAGTCTTTACTATTAGGAGGACACACACATACACTGTACACACACACACACACTTTTACTTATCACTCAATAAAATGAATAGATAGCAGTAGAGAGAGAGAGAGATCAGTCATTACTCTACAAGTAGTAGTACGTGTACTCCATAATGCGTATTACTACCAGATGTCACTCTATAGGTACTTGGCACCAATCCTAATCGTAATGAATTACGCGACTACCATCAATCATTCATTGAATGTACATGTACAGCTGTTACCATCACTCCTTTTTGTACAAACTCGAATTCGTACGTTGGGAACATTATATAATGCAACATTACAATATCACGCTCAATTACTTTCACTACTCAACTAATGGGAGCAGACACTCCATGCATTATTGGAGTCCAGTGTGGTAAAGGTGCATACAATGGACCAGGTGTCATTTGAGATCATGTAACCACTTTCACTACTGTAATCTACTGTAATCCTAGAACACTTCTGCACCAAAAATATAATTTTATTAAAGGATGACCCCCACATGCATGAGAAGCAACTGCATATGTATTTGTAAGGGCCACATGTACTTGGAGGAGCATAAGGACTTTAAGGAATACAGTGTAACTTGAGCTACACTATACATGTAAGACTGGCACTTTTGATGTTAGGCAGAGCAGCCAGTGTGTGTGTGAATATTGACACAGTGAGGTCTGAGGGCTATGCCACACCATAACCATCAGTCAGGAGCTACCATAGACTATATACAGAAGTAATGTGGTAAGGGATATATGGTACAAATGTACTTGTACATGTACTTGCCAATAATACTACAGCTAATAGCTAGCTCCTCTCTCTCTCTGTTAGTAGGGTAGAACCTTTATTATGTCTACATTATGAGTCAAAATCAATTACACAATTATATACACACAAGAGGAGAGAGAGAGAGAGAGAGAGAGAGAGAGAGAGAGAGAGAGAGAAAGAAAGGGGGAGAGGCATGTACATGTACATGTGTACACAGAGTCTGCCAAGTCTACACTACCCATGGAGTTGTACTATAATTGTGAGGGGAAATTTGTAGAGGACATGATGTTAAAGAGCAACGTTATTCATTACTACAGTCATGTGACTGCTGTGGTGACGTCAGTGGTCAGGTTTTCATAATCAACTCAATTAGCTTGCTAATTATTCAGCTTTGATAACAGGCTCTAATTGTAGTGACACCTAATGAAGCAGTGTCAGAGGTTAGCCTAAAAGGCAATCTGTAGGGAAACTGAGGCATCCTATGAAACAAACTAGTCTCCTAACCACAGCACAATGGAACCCCAACAAGTACTAATGTATATAGAGCATTACTCTACTAATACTGGTGTGTACTGGATAAGGAGGTCAGAGGAAACCGCTATAAAAACTAGTAGGTTGCACTATGGTTAACATTAGCCTGGCTTGTCTTACTCTTAATGTAAGGATATACTTAACCCAAGGGCATATAGACACATATACTATATACACAAGGTACATAGTTTAATACAATTAAGTACTGCTTACTCTATAGTTTGTAAGACATACTGCTTTTTAATGCTATTTTTGAACTCAAAGGAAATTTTGACTTAAATAAAGGCAACACATGTACTGATGGGACTTTATCCTTTTATGAGTTAGACTAGTCAGAGTCTAATCATTAAACTGCTGTTCTCATTCTTCATCAAGTAGTGATGAATGATATCACTCACTTTTAATTGACTATATACAAATATGAGCTTCCCTCTTCTCACAAACACACACACACACAAAGCTAATTGCACACACAGTCACACACACTTACAGTTCACATACATGTATATGCATGCATGATGCAAGTATTAATTTCATACCTCATTAAAGAGAAGCTCCTTCCTCTGCTGGTTCCAAAGACTCATCTTCTTTACAGCAACCACTCTGTTGGTGGATAGTTGATGTGCAGTGTATACAGTACCAGTCGATCCTTCGCCAATCTTCACGAACCAGTCAAGATCACGGCGTGGGTCACTAGAATTAACCAGTAGACTTATTGTAGCACGAAACTGCTCCGCAGACATCTTGCTGGACGGTCTATTGCGATGAGGCTTAGCAGGCACTGTATGTCCCCTACCTGTGGAGTATACATCTGAAACAAAATGAGGATTGACAGCAGCTCCTGTTGAAGAGGTAATGTTTCTAGAGGAGCTAGTGGTCATGACGTGGGAGACAGGAGTGGCTGTAGCATGAGATGGATTCATGAGATCACTCCTTCGAATCCTTTGAGTGTTACGAGAGGGACTGGTACCTGATTTAGCCGGTCTCTGAAGCGAAGAGAAGTGAGGATGATTGTGATAATGATGCATGTACTGGACTCCAGCAACATCATGGGTAGATGAAGAAGGTAGCGCATTGGATGCATCAGTAGAGGTAGTATCGAACGGTAGACAGGAGTGAATGGGACCAAGGGGACGATGGTGAGGGGGAGACTGGTGAGTGGAGTACTGGGACGTGGAAGGGAGAGGAGCAACAGGAGGAGGAGGGGGAAGAGCAGAAGAGGGTATGTGCTGACTAGTTGAGAGTCTAGAGGAGTAGAGGCTGGAGTGAGTACTACCAAAGTATCCAGAGGAATCACTTGGTGAGTATATGATATGAGAGGAGGTGGTTAGTACACTGGAGCTACCCTCAGAGTCATAGAGCCCAAGATCAGACTGTATAGCATCGAGAGGTGCAGTGAAGGAGAAGGGAGACGAAGGGTGGTGGTGGGAGTGGTCGGACGAAATGTGACTCAGAGTTGAGCTACGAGTTGAGAGTGGCGGTATTGTTGGTGTTGTCACAGCAACAGTTGAGAAAGGAGGAGAGGCAAGCTGCTGCTGTGAGCTATGGCGGGATGAGCTACCCTGTGATCCAGTGCTGCTGCCGCCAGTCTGAGACCTCAACTGTATATCAATGAACTCGTGTACTTCTTCGTCTTCTTCTCCTGCTAGCGAGCAGCAGTGGTCATGAACATACTTGACTGTGTCTTCAAGACACGAGTCAGACCCACGTACAATCGGAGAGGGTCGCTTGATTGGTTCCGGAGTGTTGCCAGTTGACTTTGATCCAATCCTCTTAGTGCTTGTCTCATTTTTATTGGAAGGACTTGCACTGGTGGCTCTAGAAGTGGTAGGTGAGGTGGTGGACGGGTGAGTAGTATCGACTAAGGTTTTCCATTGCGGGGGTAACCCTGAGAAACCCTCGGACCCAATCTCAGCATGGTAACAGTGCATGAAACCCATAGGCTCAGAAATGTCTTCTTTCTTGATGCGATGGACACTCCTTCTCTTTGATGAGCGTCTGAGTGAGCGAGAGCGAGAGAAGAGAGGCATCTTTGATGGACTGGGTGGAAGGGACACGCAAGTGGTAGACATAAATGGAGGCAAAAGAACCAGTCACAGGAATATGATTCAGGAAGAGAGATAGGAGAAGGAATAATAAACTCTTAGCACAGTGAGGTATACTGACAGTAGAATAGTGAGAAGTATCAGCAATCCTTTTGATAAATACACACAAGCAAACTGAATGAATGCTCTACTCCCGTCTTTGGCCTCTTTCTTCCCTTTGAGAGTCAGTCTGACTGGTTTGACACGAAAGTGAACACCAAACTCCTTGTAGACGCTACAAGGAGAGAAGTAGGAGGAGGTGGCGGCTCTGACTGTACAGTTGTAGTCCAGTATTGCTTGCCAGCCTGCTTCCAAAGCCTACTGTGGTACAGTGTGTTGTATCAGACTATGACTGAGGGAGAACGAGAGAGAATGAGCACGCTATATATCCCCATAATCAGAAGAGGAGGCGCGCAGTAGTGAGCCAACACCCACTCACTTGCAAATAAAAGAAAATAATGAAAATATTCATAGGCATGATTATTTTTATTGTTTTACCTGATGTGTTGTAGGATCAGTTAGTTAATTTAGGATAATAGATAAAAACTATATCTGCTTCTTAAAATAAAAAATAGAAAATAAATTTAAAGTGCAGTAAGTAATTGTGAATAATAATTTTATTTTGTCATACTGGTGCAGATCTAAATCATGACTCGGAAAATAAACGGATATGAAACTAATCAAATCCGCAATATCCGGACAACATAGTAAAGATGTCTGCCAAGTGACACCAGAATTTTTTGTTAATTCACAGCAAGACAAAGACTATATTCTTCATTGAGAGCAATGTATCCTCGCCATAATTACCACTTCCTGGAGAGGGCGGGTCCATATTCTAGTGGTAGAGAGCCTTACCCTCCAGTTCCAGGAGTTCATCCCTCTCCTCCTCCACCACACCCCCCATCATTCCCTCCCTTTGATCCTCCTCCTCCTCCTCCTTTACCTTACGATGATGAACCCCCTCCTCCTCCTCCTCCTCCTCCCCCTCCTCGTGAAGATGTAACGACTCTCTTTCATTCTGTAAGTATGAATATTATTTGAGGAATCGATTTAAAATAATTTATTCAATATTATTGCAAAAAATAATGTGTACATTTGTTGTTGTTGTTTATGTGTATTCTATAGTACTCTACAGCCGGTCCTCCTCCTCCTCATTCACTTAATGTCCCCACTCAACCACAGCCGCTGTTCAATGAGGTATTAAGTCATGTATCCTTTTTTTAAATTCCCTATCTTTTCCTCCCCCCCTCCCCCTCACACACTCTCTATCATAATACATGTACACAGACTCCTGGTTCCTCTGCATACTACAACAGGTCCTCTTCCTTCACCAGTAGAGATCATTATGTAGGCGGTCAAGGACCTCATCTAACATATGGTAATTATGAGTCTAGAATTGATATTAGTGTCCATCAGGTACGTGTGTATTCTATGCATCAATTAGTACTTCTATAATAACAAACTATAGTCCTACTTGCATCGTGTACACGTATTATACAGACTATTCATGTCTATTTTGATGTGTACTTTATGATGTGTTTATCATGTTTTTTTGTTAAATAATATCACTTACACTGTATCATTTGTCATATCAGTTCATTTACTACCAAATAAATTGTTTGCGTTGAATTGATGCACGTAACTTGTGTATAGCGTATAATTTACATGTACTGTACATGTTAGTTGATATGTATATGTATCTGTCTGTGTGCTTGATCTTTATTGGCATCGTTTTCTTTTAATGTTTGTGTGTCTGTCTGTCAGGTTGTGTGTGTGTTTATGTACCTGTAATGTAAGGAAGGTGTCGTCTGTGTTTTTTACTGTTCATAATTTAATTATTTCTTGTACGCGTGTGCAAATGTACACTACATTACTCTCCTCTCCCTCCCTCCCTCTCTATTCTTTTTATAAGTCTCTTATATATTTTTCTTTCTTCACATGTACATGTACACATACAACTGTACATTATAACCATTATTGCACATGCATACAGTCTATCAATATATCTCTCTGTGTTCTGCTCTATTTTACATGTACATGTACATGAATATTACAACTTTACTTTTAAAGCTATGTACATGTACATGTACATAAGTATTATACTGTGTATTTATTCTATTCTTGTATTATCCTAGGGAGGTAGAGGTGAGTCTCATTTTCCTCCTGAGACAAATCCTTCACCTCATTCCTCTTATCCTGGTGGCTACCACACTGATCATCATCATCATCACCTCCCTCAGTCTAATTTCCCTCAATGGAGAGAACGCTCTCCTCCTGAGACTCGCCGTATACCACAGTCTTGGTCCGGAGACCACGTTTCTTCCTCCTCTTTCCCTCCTCCTCCTCATCCTTCCCATTCAGTTCAACCTGTTCCTCATGCTCAGTGCCCTCCTCCATTGTTTCCTGTTGAGAGTCTCAAGAAGATTGTACCAGCTGAAACTATATTTGATATGTCTAGAAGGAAAGTAAGACCATCTCATGTAAGTGAATCCGCAGTATTTCTTAATATGGCAGTCGGTAATTAATAAGATCAGCTCTATATAAAGGCTGATCCAATCATTTAACAATGATTGCTCCATAATAATGGTAATCAATGACGATGCCTTTATTGACTATATTGGCGGTTGGATTATATTGCCTGTGTGTGTTTGTGTGTGTGTGTGTCTATTGTGTGGTAGTATACATCATTTGTATCTTAATTGAATTTGCACAGTGTGTTCATCTTAGCACAAAGGGTGTACGTGTGTGTGGGGGGGAGATCTACTAATTACTTATTGTGTAGGCTAGAGTGCCTGCATGTAGTCATAAGCTAGTTTATATGTGTACGTCATGTGTAATTGTGTATATTGTTACTAGTATCCTGTTTCTTAGAAGATTGACTGTTCGCATTGGAAGTCCTATAGTTCTTGTGAATTTTTTTAGATAATAGATTTTTTGCCATTTTCAAATCCTGCATGTACTAGTGTACTAAAGAAGTTTACCTACTTAACTTAATGGTACTAATAATAGCTACATTAATGGTTCATTGTGCATTACATGCAGTTATGATAAGAGGGAGAGAAAGGAAAGAAAGGGAATGGAAGTTTGTCAGTATAAGCTCATTGCTCTCCTTTCCTTGCCTGCATACCTTTGAGTCAAAGCATTCCTTCTCCATCTTTATACACAAACTTAAATGATTCACTTGTTTCCAAAATCTACACATGTACACATATGTACATGTACATGTGTCACATGACACATTCATACTTTAGCTCTTTAATGGCTTTTGAGTTACTTACGTGTATTTTGATACAATATACATGTACATGTATATATAAGAATTAAGTAATAATTTTTAAATGAGTACATGTAATTCTCATTGCTTTAGCTGCATGTACTGTACATGTACATGTACATGTAAAAGCTGGTAAAAGCTAAACTGCATGTGTATATTTTCTATTGGGTATTTTCCAGGATCACTAGTGATTGGTGTTTTCCTTGTTTTCTGTTGCACTTTCAAAGGCTCTGTAAAGTGTCCTTTTATGTCTTTTCCCAAAAAATCCAATACCATCTTTATATTGTTGTATTCAAACTGGAAAAATCTTTCATGGCACAGGTAGGTACACATACTTTTACCTTTATGTGGTAATTGGTGCACATGCAACCATACATGTACATGTACATGTACATGTGTACATTGTATTGTGTGTGCTGCACCTGACCTAACTGAAAGTGTCCTAATGGATACCACAGAGTTTTATTATCTCAACCAAGAAAAACAGTCAAAAGAACAAAGACAAGCTTTATGCAGCATGCAGCATCATTTTGCAATGTATAGTACATGTACATGTACATGCATGTACATGTACATGTACATGTACATGCATGTACATGTACATAGTAGTGAATATTGCTCAGTGTAGTGCTATAAGCCTATAAGTGACATAAGCCCATGCTATTGTGAGTCTGAGCATTTATAAGATTTGTGTGTGTGTGTAGTACATTAGGTGTTAATATCAAAGGCCCAGTAGTAATCAGGTTAAGCTCTTGTGAGGACTCTGTGTACCTACTGGACACCAACAACCTGTTGACTCTATCTTGAGGCAATTAAAGTGCAGCATAATCCATCATGTACTTATATTCTGATATAAAGTGATGATAATAATTAGTAGTAATACACTGTATGTGTACATTTCCTCTTGATATACAGTGTATCCACCCTTGTACATTAACATTTTAATTTATACAGTATATGTACATGTACATGTATATACATGTACATGTACATCAATGCAGCATGTCATAATGTACATGTGGTTTAATTTATAAATGTACACACAATGTACATGTGTACTGGATGTATTGTGTTTATACAGTGCATGCAATGCAATGCAGGTAATGATCGAGATATTGTACTGTTGTAATGAGATTGCATGGCTATATTTGTACCTATAATTTCTTTTACCTGCTATATAATGCATGTAATAATGTACATGTGTGCATCCATGCACATAATGTGTTATTGTGTTTATACATTATGTGGATTGATACAGGTATAGTGTATGTGACTCTGTGTGTGTGTGTGTGTGTGGTTGTTATGTTAAAGGTTTCAGTTGTCAGCTTTGAATGATTCTATTCTGAGAATAAAGAAGGAAACATAATCAAGTGATATGTGATCATAATTACACACTGTCACGTACTTATTGTACGTGTTAGGTGTATTGTAAATGCATTAGTTGTACTACTATACCTTGCATTAGCTGTATTGCTGTGCCTTGCATTGGGTCTGTTTGTGCAGTGATTGATTGATATCCATGCACTTGACCTTATGATGTTTTTTTGAACTTTATAATAATCATTCTTTTGCTTATCTTTCTCATTCTCCTTTCTCGCTCTCTCTCTCTCTGTCTCTTTGTCTCTGTCTCTTTGTCTCTGTCTCTTTGTCTCTGTCTCTTTGTCTCTGTCTCTCTCTAGATTGCTATTATATTTCGTGGTTTGCCTGGCAGTGGTAAGAGTCATTTAGCTAAACTAATTAAGGTCAGGCTCTCAAAGAAATACAAATGTACATGTAATGATATATACGGTACATGTACATGTATGTACCCGGTACATCAATTGTACATTACAACTAGTGTATATCACTGGCTGCACATTTTGTGTGACTGGTCATGTGATGGTGTGTGTATATATCTATTAGGAGAAGGAGTTGCAGTATTCATCTTCTGCTCCAAGAATTCTCTCAATTGATACTTACTTTGTTGATGAAGTGGAGAAGATAGAGAGAGACCCTGAGACAGGTACGCCATTATCTCACGTGTCCTTCTTTCGTGGATTATGTAACCTTTTGCATCAAGGACACTGCATGTATCACACTAACGTACCATGTAACCTCAGTTGTGTGTGGTTTGTTTGTGTATGGTGGTGTAGGTGTACGTGTTACTCTCTCTATGTGTGTGTTTGAGACACTCTGAAGAATTCTCTGCTTGAGTAATGATGCTAATGGTGACCATTAGACTCTGTTTTAGATCATGTGTTTGTGTGTTTCATATCTCATTCATGATTACTGACTCGTACCCATAACAGGGATATAGCGTAGTTTCATGTCTTTTTTAAATCTAAAATTTTGCCGAAATTTGTATAATTAATGTAATTATGTACGGTACATGAATGTGTGTTCGGAATTTTCCACTAGAAGGCTTTAGTGTAATGCATGCATGTATAATAATAATACTAACAATTAAGAGCTTTACTTCATGAGTTCATGTGCATATAAACTATATTCATTCATTGCTCACCATTTATAGAGTAATGTACCATTACTGTATATAGATATCTTGGCTGCTTGTTTTGTTTTATTATGGAGTGTCATTGGTAGGTCGTAGGATAAAGAGGAAGGTGGAAGAGTATGAGTATGATGTAGCACTAGAGACAAGTTACATGGCTAGCATGTTTAAGTTGTTTAACAGGACGCTATCTGAGGGTTATTTCTCTATGATACTTGTCGATGCTGTTAATTCAAAGGTATGGGACATTTCCTCTTTTCCTTTGTTGTCATCTCTACTAACCACTACCTCTTGTTTCTCTTCTCTTCCTCTCACTTTTATAATAATAATAATAATAATAATAATAGTATATATATATATATATATATATATATATATATATATATATATATATATATATATATATATATAAGCCTAACATAGTGTAGCTACAATGTATTGTGTATGACTGTATGTACATTCCTAAGAAACTGCATTCAACATACAATGTACATGTACATGCCTAATTAATCTCATCATTACTACATCTCAGTGACATTTATATATTCAATTTTTAAAAATTATTGTGTGTGTATGTGTGTAGATTTCTGATTTTGATCAGTTTTGGAGCAATGCAAAGCTAAGTGGTTTTGAGGCTTTTGTGGTTGAGCTTAAGGAACCTGTTGAGGTTTGTGCTAAGAGAAACATACACAACAGGACCAGAGAAGAGATTGAGCTGGTAAGGACATCAAGACACTGTACGTGTTCTGTGCATACATGTACATGTACATGTACATGTACATGTACATGTAATAATTAAATGTCATTAGCTGTATCTTTTATGTGTGTTACATGTTGTAGTACAGCATTGAGTCTTTGATCAATAGAATCCTTTTAATGTTAATTGAAGCAGCACTATACAGTAGTAGAGAGAGTAGTAGTAGAGAGAGAGGGGGGGGGAACAAACTCTACATTAGGTGCCTATTATTGAGAGATTGTCAGCATGTACAGGAGATTGTACTATCCTTGCAACAAGAGTAAAATTGGAAATCTTCCTTGCCTTCCTTATAAGGAGTAAGAGCTACTCACATGTAGTTGCTATTTTCAATAATAAATGACCCACTTAACAAAATAAATCTACTAAAACTCTTGCTGCAAGGATTATGTAATCTTCTGTATGTACAAGTACATTGTATTTGATGTGTTATCGGGGCAGCTGTTGGTCATTTGACATTGTTTGTAGCCTCAGAGATCAAATCATTTCATAGAAAGTGAGACTGTTAGTGGACTCTTTGTACTTTGTAAGTAAAACCATATTACATGGAGACATTCTACATAGATTATGTCACATTGTTTAGTGTGTGTGTGTCTCTCTCTTTATATTTCATTTATAAATGATTATGGATATTGTTTTGATGCTTTTGGCAAAGGTGTAATCCCAGCTTGACTCCATCGATGCATCAAGAAAGGAATTTAAGATTGTGTCTAAGCTGTGTATCAGTTTGCATGCGTCCCATTGTGAACTATTGTGTAATTGTGTGTGCATGATGTTTGCTTTTATGTGAACTGCTGCTGATAGCACATTATTAGCTAATGGAGCTTGATACCGTACCATATACAACAATGCTACACATACAAGACAGAAACGGTACATTGTACATGTGGAATGAAGTCCTGTGATTATTATCTGAAGTGAAGTAAAGGTTTGCATGCTCTTTGACAGTCTGTTTGTGTGTGATACAGTTTCCCTTTCATATTGATATATACTGCATACTGTCTGTGACAGGGGCAGTCTGAGTGGCTCTATACTTTCCAGACATCATGGACCCCTACAGGATCATGTGGAAACCAAGCTTTATAGCATACGCATGTACATAATGATTAATCATAATACATCAAATATACATATACATTGTAAATGTACCTTTTATAATGTAGTATGATAGACATGGTATAACTATTAACTATGTAATGCATGGATGGTGTGAATGCATGACGTTTGCACTAGCTCTGTATAATTGTGTATGGAAGGAGTGTTTAAATTTTAAATGGTGCAGTTGTTATAGGAGCATACCTTATGTTTTGTTGAAGCATAATAATGAGATAAAGAGTTTGTATTGGTATTGAGATGTGTGGGTTTGTTTGTGTAGCTTGAAGCTAATTACTATGATCTAGTATATACGCCTTTTGACAGTGGGACATTTTCTCATTCTGTCTACACTGACTCTTGCTCGCACTTTTCTTATTCTCTTAATTCTCCCCTTTCTCTCTCTCTTTGATTTATTTCTGCTATCTTCCCCTCTCTCCCTCCCTTTCCCCTCTTTCTCTTCCTCTCCCCTTCTCTTCCTCTCTCTCTCTCCCTCTCCTCACAGTTAGCTAAACAATGGGAGCCTACTCCTCCTCACTTTCTTCAACTTGACGTTACTTCTTTATTGTCACCACAAGACACAGCAATTGATGAAGTTAGTCAGTACACATACAAACCTACACAAACATGAACACACGCACACACACACACACACACACACACACACACACACTGAATCCTCACCTACTGCCCCTAGATACACTCTATAATGATTTTATACTAAGACTACACAATTCATTAGCCTAAAAGTCCCTCCATACTCTTTAAAAATGCATTAATTATTAAATAACAATTTTGTGATGAGTGGTTGTACTTTTGTGCTCCTTTTAAAAGAAATTTTATTTCCAAGTCATAACTGGGGTATTGTTTTCATCAGGTTTTATACGTATCATCATTATTATTATTATTATTATTATTTTGTATACAATACATGTACATGTATGTGTATATTTATAGTCTAGAGCTGATATGGCCTGGGGGCATTAGTTGATGGCATGCATGTACTCAGTCTACAGTCCACATACCTTAATTATGTAATCAGTGGACAATAATTATTTGTAATTTTATGATCATGCAGTGTCCTCCAGCACAAAAATTTTTAGTGCTTAATTGACAGTAAAATAACTGATGTAAACGGTAGGGTTGGCCGAATCACGAAAATATTTTTCTCATGGAAATATATTTGTCCTGTACATGTACATGTAATATTATGTCAGAGAAATTTTGGTTATACTGTGCTTGTTTCCATTCATCTGTTCTACAGCGAATTAAATTATTTTGCTACATGTACATGTACATGCATGTACATGTACATGTACATGCATGTACATGTACATGTACATGTAGTGCAAAACTGCAGATGTACTTGGTACATGTTCACATCTCACAACACCTCATCTATTATTGTTATGATTGCTTGATGTGTATGATATGCTAAGTGTGTGTGTGCATGTACAGTAGGTATGTTGGATGTTGTCCCTTTAGCGTTGTTGGTATATACACAGTCACACAGACTCAGATAAATTACTTATCATACTGCTGTACACACAAACATACCTACTGTAGATGTAGCTGACGTTTAATTAGTCAGTCACTCAGTCAGTTTGGCACTGGGTGTGTCATGTGACTTCAATCACAAGATTTGTATCAACAATGACAGAGATACATTAGACGCATGATAATCCTGACCGTATTAACTAAATGATATGTCTCTTAGTTAAAATGTGCTTATATAATATTGTACAACCAAAAAAATTGAAGACCATAAAGTTCACAAAAACCAATTTAATTTTAATAACCACTATTCCATGTTACATTAATTTTCGTGGCTTCTATTTTCAAAACTCTTAAAAAGAATTGCGAAATTTATAGCCCTTACAAATTTTGCTTTATATATGTGTACATGTATGCATAAGACCATTCCCATTTCGTTTCAATTCTTATTGTACTCCTGTATCAATCAGTGCATGTGCAATGTATGCAATTTATTATTATTATGGTCTGTGTACTGTATATGTACATGTAGGTGGACATGGAAATGGTTGATTCAGACAAAGAGGACTCTGAAGAAAAGAAGAAGGACCCCAACCCTCTCCCTCAGGTTTATTAACTGATCACACACACACACACACACACACAGTAATAGCTCATTCACAGTAAAAGCACAATCATATTATACAGTGTCTTTGTAATAATAATAATAATCTACATGTATATTGCTGGATGCTTTACTGATACTGTGTATGTATATAATGTATTGGTCAGTATCATGGCCTAGTACCAAGTCGCTGGGAACAGGAGGCGATGAATGAAGACATGCTAGGTTGGTTAACTTAATTATTTAATGTATAAGCATTAAGTACGTCTGTCCTATTTCTATTTCTTATTCACATCTACATTAATCAGTTCTGCCTACATTGTACTGTACATGTACATGTATGTATTCATTTTTTATTGTTGTTTAATTTGTTTCGTGGCACAACTCCCTCTAGTTCTTATTGTCATAATTATCGAAATTAGGTAGTTATTTTATTGTTTATTGAACTAGTCAGTCTGGTTTTGCACGCCAGTTTTGCAATCCTGTTTATTATTATTATTTATTATTATTGTAATATGATTAGAAGCCCGTGGGTGTGTGTTCAGCTCACTCACTTACACACATGAAAGCTTCTCTGTATAGAAACAAGAATTAACAGTAAACCTATGTGGGTGCAGTATTTACTAGCAATTAGTATTATTATTGCATGTAATAAGGGACGGTTTCTGTACTTCAAGTTTAAAAAATATATATACATGTACATGTATACTTACATGTACTTAACAGTAAGAGGTTATTAATAATTATTGTGTGCACAATCTGAATTTTGAAAAATGAATTATGCCTATACTGTACATACATGTAGTTTCAAAGTTTTGCTCTATGAATTTAGACTGTACAGTTGTTACTGCAGATTTACATTCTATCATAGATTATTTATAGCAAGGGTAGTGTGTTTGTGTGTGTTGGTGCAGGAGGGTATACATGTAGTTTCTGGTTTATGCTCATTTGGCAGGCAGTGTTATAAACTTGTCTATTAGTTGCCTGATGTGTAGTCTGTGAGTCTGTGTTTGTGTGCAGTAAAGTGCATGTGTCTGTGTATTGCTTGATCTGTGTGAGTGTTTATACTCTTCAAATCATGTTCTTCAATTATAGTTTCCTATTATGTCTGTAGATAAGCTTGATGGATTTAAGAAGCGTCGGAGAAGAGAAGGAGCTGTGGGGGAGGAGGGGGAGGAGGAGGAGGAGGGACTGAGTCTGAAAGAATATCTAGAACGGAAACAAGAGGAGTACAGTCAAGCTGGCAAAATGAACAAGAAAAGAGTAAGACCAACAATATATATTGGATCTATTTTTTATGGTCCCCCAAATTTTCAACTACACTACAGTATATTACCAATAATGAATGAGGAGTGATATGTACTGTACATGTAATACATATATAGAATTTTAAATGGTTCAGTGAAGGATATCAAATTACCTCAGGGTGGGTATATGTTAGTACATACTTGAACATGTTGAACACCTGATGATGATCATCATTGCCTGACATGCCAAAATACTGTAGTACTAACAATTAGTGCATGCATGACATGTACATGTACATGCATTGTCACCTTATGTGTACAAGTACATGCACATGTGCATTACTAGTGAATGTACATGTACATGCTATGTAGTATATAGTATTACGTGTCCCAAGGCGTGTCGATTATAGACATGAGAGCAGGTGGTGTCTGAGCTAGTGGTACACCCGTCCCGAGTTGATGTATAGTACTAGGAATTAACAAGATATTAATTAATGAGAGGTTCCCTCCTACTCGTATCACATGTGGGAAATCCATGGATGAGTGCATGATGATAGTCAAAATAATTATTTTAATATTCAATAGTAATTAGTTTATGTAGTATTTTAATATTTTTGGAGGCAGTGTTATACATGTACTTAGTTTATTTGTCTCCATTTGTCTTGGTTGAGTGCCTCATTCGTGTGTACATGAGCATGTAAAATACATGTGTACATGTAAGGATGGGATGGCTAGGGGTGAGACCAAAGGCAATTTAATAGTTATAATAGTCAAACCTATTTATGAAAACAGACACAAGGGGACCTCCTTAATTGCTAAACATTTCCGTAGTTTTAGTTTCACAATATTAATGTTATTAAGTGAATGGGTTCACTGCTCATTCTGCTCTGAGAGCCAGTAGCAATTTAGCATGTTATGTAAATAGTCTTGAATTTGCAAAGTATTTTATGCATAATCATAATTCCATTTTTACTTTCATTTCTCTTATTGATATAATACAAAATTTTCTTTAGTCAAAAATTTTATCAGGATGCTTTATTTGATGAAATCATTTATTTGCTTTCCTCGTACGTGGATAATAGCAGAATGATTAGACAATGAATATTAATTTGTATAAGACAAAGATGTTTTGACTAACTTTTTGACCCATGAAATTGGAAGCTATACGATCGATGTCTCACCTAAGACTATTTTTTGAAAAATTACTTAGAGTGAAAAGATACCTCTTCCAAATGAAGTTTAGACATAACACCAATAAAAGTGTACATGTACAGACAGTACAGTAATATATAGTAATACTACTATCATAGTGATACTAGGATAGTGTCTTCTTGTGCAGCTGTTCATCTCATTATGATGGCATGAGTAGACTAGAGAAAAAGAGTGATTGAAGAGGATACAAATTGGACTCATTACTAGAACACTATTTCTTCCCATGCCGTGTAATTTTAATTACTTGTGTGGGTACCCTAGACTTAGCGGCGCATCTTTGATTTAGAATCAATTTGTACACTGTTGACGCCCTTTTGCCTAGTGACTTACATGTATGTACTTATCAATTTCCTAAATGCCATGGGCCAACAATTATACACCCACACATACTATTAAAACATGACTCATTATTTTATGAATTATGCTTCTTGTAGGTAAGATGGGCAGACCTGGAGGAAGCAAAGGAGGAAATAAGAAAGAAAGAGATTGGGTTTTCACTGGGGGGTGGCTGGAGCAAAGTATCAGAAGATGAAGTGAATAGAATATTACATCAGCCCACAGCGTCCAATGAGGATGAGAAGGAAACACAATAATTAAATTATAATAATAATTATGCTTTCATATGTTTTAAAATTAAATGACTTGTGTGTACGTGTATAATAATATTATTCAAACAGTAAATATTGACAACAAAAAAAGCAGTTCCAGTATTCTTTCTCTATTGTTCGAGTCTTCTGTACTCGGCCCCTTTCTTCTCCAGTATCCGTCTTCGTGCGAATGCAATTATATACACCAAGAGTACGACAATAAGGAGTAGTGCAAGACATGCACCAACCACTATTGGAACAATCAGTTCACGGAATGCAACCCAATCCTCTTGACATGTGTGTTCTGTAGGAGAGAGAGAGAAGAGATTTAATATGTATCATACTGGATAGACACGTATAAGACTTCTTGTAGTTGATGAAACCAATAATTATTACTGTATAATACCGTATAGCAGGTAAATTTGGAGGGGATTAAATTAGGTGAATTTGGGATTTTGATAGCCATTTGCCAAAATAAAACCCCACCATTTTGAGCCATTATACGCATGCTCAATGGCATGTGGCCACAAATTCGCCAAATTAAAACCTGCCAATCACCAAAATTTAGCAATTTGCCAAAATTTAGCCTCTCCAAATTTACCCGCTATACGGTATTTTACTCATAGATCAGATGGATACTGAGCTAATCAGCACTATAGGATTAAAACAGGGTTTCCTACAGGATTTTGGCAAGTGCTCAGCTTCTTGTCAGCACATTTTAAATTAATTTTGCCAAAATTGCTAGAAGAGAATTTTAAATTTTTTTAATGCATATACATGTACATGTAATTATGCTGCATAAAAATTTTGAGTTCATTCTGATCAAAATTGAATCTTTTTACAAATTTTGAAGTAGCTCAAAAATTGGGTCGTAGACCCTGTACTATGGTACAGGATTTTGGGCCAAATTTTACCAAAATTGACAAGGAGAGAATTCTCAATTTTTATAATTAATACATGTACTTATGTTGCATAACAATTTTAAGTTGATTCTGATCAAAATTGGATTTTTTATGAATTTTTAAAGTTACTAAAAATCATGCCAAAGTCCCTGTCTAGGGCCAAAATTTAAAAGATGAAAAGTCTCCATTTTATATTTTTTCCTGATAGTACAAATTTTGAGCTGATTCTGGTTTTTAAATAAATTTAAAAGTTGCTCAAAAAGCTGTATTTAAACTGACTTAGCATGCTTTGTATGAAACCCTTGATTCAAAAAACTACTTGGCATTAGTAAACCATAGTCAAAGGATATGATACATGTACCACTATAGTGGATTTGGCAACACAACTTAATCACTCTGACGCTACACTCACTAGCATAAACCCTGAATAGCATACATTGCATATCCTATAGCCAAATATTTTCGTGGTCCAAAAATGGATCCATCTAATTTTTCTTGATTTTCTACTTTTTGCCACGTTAAACCAATTAAATACAATATTGGCAGATTTCATTTTTGTAAATATTGAAAAAATGCAAAGTCACAAAATTTTGGGCCACAAAAAGATTCTTGCTATATAGTATGTTGTATACATGTACATGCACTTATTATTTATTCCATTAATTCTTGGAAGCTGTAAATTATTTATCAAAGATTATCTTTTAGGGTTTACAATCTAGCTTCCATACTGAAATCATATCATTAATGAAAGGAAATAAAAACTAATAATACTAAATAGCAATAAATACTAAATTTTGGGGGTTATATTACACGTACACACAATGAAAAATTTTGGCAATTATTTATTTCCATTCCCATATGACAAAGCATAGATTGGATAGTTCATCATATTTTGCGATTGCAATAAGATCACACAATACTTATTTGGAGAAAAGGACTATGGCATTATTATCAGTACTAGTATTAGTTTTTGCATAAAATAACAACTAAACAAACAAAACATTCATTTAGTATCATAGAGTCACTTACTCTCTGGTTCACTGTTCTCAAAGCTTCCCAAATAAATGACAGTTTTCTCTAGAGTGACATAAGAAGTGGCACTGCTGTTACCGAGGACCACATCATTGTTAAGGTTGAGCTTCTTGCAGCCTTTACAATAAAAGTACTGATCTGTGGAGAATGTCCGATTGAAGAGTCCTTTGCTTGACTCATCTCTAATGGAGTATGAGTATGATGAGTATCGGGTACCATTGTGTGTTGAGACTAAAATGGAGAGAGTAGAAAGAGAAGATGGAAAAGAGAGAGAGAGACAGGGGAGGGAGAAAAGAATATAAAGAATGGAGAGAGAGAAAAGAGAGAGGAAGAAAGAAAGAAGTGAAAGCAGAATGAAATAAACATAATATACAGAACAGTCAAAATAAACAAGGTACATGTACATGTAGATGAGAATAATAAATGCTATGCAGTTTACTCCTCACCTGTCAATTGTACTTGTGTTAAACTCCAATACTTATTGCCTTCACCATACTACATATATAAATAATACATAAAACCTCATTATACATGAAGAGTGTGCAAAAAATATTTTGTATGGATTGATAATAGTACAAAATAGTTATAGAGGCAAGTATAATTTATTTTTACAAACAGATAGTAAATCTCTTTATTTAAAAATACACTGCTGTTTACTTTCTTAAAGTTCATTGTTGCTGCAAAAGTTGCCGCAACAGGATAGGAGTCAGAGTCCGTCCAATCAATGACAATACTATAATCAGTATCATTGCAAAAACCATCAACTAGCAGATTAGGAGCGTCAGCTTTAGGCACTGATACAGCTTGCTATTGCAAGGGAAGGAGGGAAGAGAGAGAGAGTGGGAGAAGAAAGAAGAACACAATATTGTAATAATCATATTGCTTACAAAATTTAACTGCATGGACAAAATTTTTGTAGGGTTTACATGTACTGCTCTCCCCCACCTCATCTCCATTGATGGTTCCATTGATAATTGAACGTGAGAGGTAGAAGACCATTTGAAAGCTAGTATAAAGGCAGACCTCATTATTGTCGTCTCTTACAAGGTATGTACGGTTACCGTCATCAGCTATAACTGGGGGAGACTTAGCTAAATAAAAGAAGCAATATGCAATAATGTACTAATGGAGTCATACCTTCTATTGAAGATAAGACGAAGGAGAAAAAGACGCACAAATAAAGGATACCCTTCCCGAAGGCAGCCATTTTCTGTGGCTCACGTGATAAGAATAGGCGCGGCTCAAAGATGGGAGGAGCTGGGTCCATGAGATTATGAGTGCATTTTGCATGTACTGGTATTAATGCTGTTGCAACTTCAGGAAGCTAGCCTAGCTCAGCTGTTAGTATCCTTCAGAACTAGAGCAGATTCTTTTATATTGATAAAACTAGCTGCTTTTTACACAGTAAGAGCAACTTTGATCAAATTCACAATTGCACATGGACATGGTAGATGGTACACTAGTCCTAGCAACATCACAGGCTACATGTACTTATAATTCTTCTCTTCCTTAGGGCATCAGTTGTCGTGAAACTGCTTTATCCAGTGAAGACTCAGTCTACACAACTGAAAAACGGTAAGAAGTAAAGTGCGTTATCAAAGAAAAGACATACCGTACAAGATCTATTGACAAGAGTGAAATTGGGCAAATTTGCCTATGGACAGTTAATTGGTGAATTTTATACTGGCGATTTTGGGCCACATGCCATTGAGCATGCTCAGATTGAAATGGTAGATTTTATACTGGTGATGACTGCCAATCACCAATATTAATTCCTCGCCAATAAACCATCTTGTACAGTAATCGGGTTGATCCTCAAAAAAAGGCACAGTGAATTGGTAATTATTATTATAAATTTTTGTCGTCTGAAAGTCAAAGGTCACTTCCATCTCTCCCTCTCCATGCCCTTGATATGCATACCAGCTTGTGCATGACTCCACAAACAACGCCCACTACTTGTTTGGAGCTAATCCAGGGACTCCCAGTGCCTCCTCACTGAGACTCAATGACATGTAGACTATGAAAGTACATAGAATTATAATATAATATGAGCCTGGGCCTTGGGAAAAAGGAGTGTGTTGGATGTCATTAAGTTTTGTTGGTTTTTTAGGCAAAGAGTCAAGCACAAGAAAATCTATTACAAAAATGTGCCTGCATAATACGAAAGCAAAATTAAACTTAGTATTTTTTGTATTTTGTAATTCTTATTTTATTTTTGAAGGTACATGTACATGTACAATGAGTTGACTAGAGTTGATCCTAGTGATGCATTGCGTCACCTTCAGACACACTAGCTGAATGTTTTAATCACAATAACCTGCACATAGCCAAGAGGTAAGCACACTGCACCTCATCATAACTTCCAATGCAGCTGAAATTTAAATTTAAATGTTGAAATGGAAATTAAGAGTGCAAGTATTTAAATTTTGAAATGAAGAGTATAGGTATTTTGAATTTTAATTAATAAATTTTTTGTAGTTTCAGCTTTTCAGTCAAAGTGAGTCATTTCATCCACAAAAAGGGATTTTCTAACACTTAAATTTAAAATAGTTGACAGTTTACCCGTCAGTGAGAAAGATAAGGTCTGAGGTAAGAAGACTATTTTAAATTTTAAAATAATGTCATGTTCGATAGCTTTTTGATAAGATCTCTTCTTTGTTCCTGCAAACTCTTTTTTATCCAGTCCAGATCATATTTAATGAATTTTATTGACTATTAATTAGTACAAGCAATTTCATCTCTTTTTTTTTGATATTGAAAATATTAACTATTACTATTTTTAAACAATTATTATTAATAAACACGCAGAAAAATTGAAATTAACTATTATTATTAATGTTTCAATTTCATTGATAATATTTATCTAGCAGAAGTTTTAAAACCCATGTTAATGTATACAAACTCGTTGACAGTATATAGATCTACATTTTTTTCAAAAGATGTTGAGACAGCTGTGTTTATAGTGTGTGGTTGTATTAAGGGCACTGTCGTCTAGCTATCAGTACAGTATTGCCAGTTAGATGACGCTTCTAATAACTACTCCTGCAGTCCTGCTGTGGTCTCCACTATATAAACTCGTGGCGGTGCCTTGCAGCCTTTGATACACCCACACGCTATACTACAAGCACTGTATTCTCTTAAGGGTGCGGTTGGTTACGAGTGCGTTGGTTTCTCATAATTCCATAGCTAGGCATCATGGCCGCTGAGCCTGAGGCCATACGTAGTATCAATGCTGAGGCCGATTCCATGACAGAGCCTGAGGAAGAGGAATGCTCTTCTGTGGAGCTGAAAATTTTGCAGAGATATACCTGGAAACTCCACGAAGCGAATATTGAGCCAATGAGGCTGGTGTTAGACCTGGTCACACATGGTTTTGTTACTTGGATGGCATATCAGAGGATCAAAGGAATGGCAAGCTGTGAAACTCAAAGTTATGTAATAATTAATGGCCTACTACGAGTTGTGGCCCGGCAGAGAGAAAAATTTCATAGGTTGCTTCAAATATTGAACGAACATCCTCCATTGCTATCTATTGTTGCTGATAAGATAAAAGATGAATATCAAGGTAAATAAGATTTAATAATTTATATCAGACCTGTGGTCAATTACAAAACCTCACAACTTACATGTAGCCATGTTGAAGTACAAGTGATTTCATTTACATTTTGATATGTTTTTCATGAAACAGAAACATGGCTTGCTTTTAAAATGGTGGATTATATATTGGCGATTTTGTGCCACGTGCCATTGAGCATGCTCAGATTGAAACAAAATGACGGATTTTATGTTGGCAATTTCTTCATAGATTCTACTGCCAATTGCCAATATTAATTCCTTGCCAATAAATCATTTTGTATGGTATATATATCAGAAAAAAATTATAAAAATGGAGAATTTTTTCTTTTTCATTTTTGTCAAAATTCATCCAAAATTTTTGTAGGGACTTTGGCCTGATTTTTGATTAACTTTAACAACTTGTAAAAATCCAGTTTTGATTGAAATAGCTCAAATTAGATATACAACATCAAAACATGTATATGCATTAGAAAAAAATATAAAAATGGAGAATTTTTTTGCCATTTTTGACAAAATTAATACCAAATCTACTTCAGTAATCACTTCACATTACATGATCATAATTATGTACTTGTGCACTGTACACACCTAGATGAAAGCATGACAATCAGGGTTTTTCAGTATAGTGCTTAGCTTCTTGCCAGCTCATGGGGTTTGCTGTTTAGCTTGCTCAGTTGAGAAACCTAATCTGAACATTTCCCTTGTGTCTATATTAGGGCTGGGTGATAGTATCGATAGTTGCACTATCGTGATAGTGTACAACTATCGTGATAGTGTACAACTATCGTGACAGTGATACTGTAATATTTCTAACTATCACGACTGTTATTCTAACTATTACGATAGTTATCACATGTGTATGGAGCATGCACATAAATAGCTGTAATCATCTTCTAAGTTCTAATCAATAGCAACTTCCACTCATAGAGTAGTATGACTTGCTAGCACAGCTTGCTTCAAGGTTTTCACTGTCCCTGCTACATTAGCAGCATGTGAAGTGGGACAGTGTTTCTCGTTGAAAATTTGGATTAAATAAATTTAAATTAACTAGTATTATTATGCATGTGTAGTGTGATTATACAAAATAATAGATGTATTAGTTAAGTACAACAACTACATCCTTAAATAAATCATTGTATTTCCACATGTAAACCCTATGGCTGAACTATCGTGATATGTTTACTATTGTGATATTAGAGTTAGAAAATATCGTGACAGTGATATTACTACTATCGCCAGGCCTAGTCTATATTGATTTGATACAACTCAATTTTGATAATAATTCTAATGAAGTTTTGTTAAGGCTTAAGCAATTAAGTCTTTAGTTACAATTACAATTGTAATTGACCCTTGGTCTGATTTACATTTAGTATATTATAATTTAGGAATACTTCTGGCTGATCAAACTCTTCAAGTTGACGAGCATGTATCTAATTTGAGAGAATTCATTTTTGAATTTAAAAAAGTAGTGGAAACTGCAAATATCAATATTGATGATCTTGGAAAATTTATTATTTCATACCACCCTAACAAGGAGTGTCAAAGCAAAGTGAAAGATGCAAATGACATTGATGATATATTTTTTGTCCTACATACTACGTTTTGCTCTTTCTTCAATTATTCTATACTTGTTAAAATAGCTGAAAACTTTAAACTCTCTGATGGTTTTAAAGTCATACTAACTTACGAATTTGAGAATAATAATCATCAAAAAAATTTGGCAAGTATATCTCTGGCTGAAGAGCTTCAAAAAGAGAATGAATGTTTTGATTATTCCATGTATCAATGTATGATAATCCTGGGGCTGCAAACATCATTAGCTGAGCATCTCACAATATTGGAGTTTAAAGAATTTATCAAAAGAGCACTTTACGACTATGGTGACTACCTTCATCTTCTTAAAATAGAAATTGCTACAGATTCATTTGTTGAATCAACATTCTGTGCTCCTAATGAAGTAATGCATGATCTTATTTCTCAAGCTGAAGACAAGACAGCATGCCTTAAAGACATTGGAGTTAACAAATTGATCATTGGAGACACTGTCATCATAGACAATATTGAAGATGCAGGAAAGGTATATTTATATACTATTTTATACTCTCATTAACATTATTGTTGTGCTGTTATACATGTAATAAAACTTAGTCATTAACTCTTTTATTATAATAATTATTTGCTAAGCAACCAGCATCATTATGTAAAAGAACCTCATTATTTTTTTTTGTATTATGTAGAATGCAAGACATTGGGAGGCTTATTTAGAGGAGTATACTGATGCTGCAGCGAATAGTAAGACTTTCTTTCAAAATCCAAGTGAAGCTACAATTAAAATGTTTTGTGACTACTTGTCAAAATCAAAAACTAATCCTGATACTCATGTACTTGTGAAAACTGTCATTCTTGTTTTGACCTATGGTGATGGTATGTAGCAAGCTAATTCATAGCAATAATAATCATAATTTTTATAGGTTTTATTTCACTCATTCCTGAGAAATGTCTTAATACTGCCAATGTCTCTGGCCTTTTTTCTGCACTGAAGTGCTTTCTTCCTCACTTAGATGCTTCATTAAAGAAAGAAGTAATTAGTTTTCTCATCAATAAATGTGAGCCTTTCAGAAATGTCATAGTTGAGGGCAAATTTGTAACAGAGTCTCACACATGTTCACAATGGTTGTACGAGGAAGGCGTGTTATCTCTAAATATCTACCAATTACTGCATGATATGCATTACATGAATAATCTAACCCTGTCTCTGCTTAATGCACTTGTCCTGGATGATAAGCCTGAAATCATCACATTTCTTATGTCAAAATGCAATGTCTCTCCTTCTAAACTTCAGAAAATGGCTACTTTCGCCTGTAAGGAAAAGAACCTAATTATAGCATCATTGTTCCTTGAACAGATGAAATCTTTCACAGTCGATGTCGTCAAAGGTTTTTCAAAATACTTTGATGTGGAAACATTTAAAGAATTTCTTCAGACACGCTGCAGTCCTGAAAAAAAGGGAGAGCTTCTAAATTTTTGCTTCTGCTCTGATAAGATAGAAATAGATAAGAGAAGAAAATTTGCCATGGCTATTTTGGAATCTGGCTGCATTGATACATCAAAGATTAATCTTTGTGATGTTTTAAAGTATCCAAAATTTCTCCTTCTTTCTGATGTATCATTTCTTGAGAAGCTAGTCAGCGCAGGTGTTTCTTTCGATTCAAGTCTTCTACACGAAGCTGTTAAGTTAATTGTTGATAGAATTGAAAGCTACACAATTGAGCCCGAGCGGGTTGAACTAATATGTATTTTACTAGAAAATGGAGCAGATGTCATTGGCTTAGAAGCTGCTTACAGTGGTAGCGGTGGGACAGTTGTTCATGCTGCTACAGAGCTGGCTCTTCAAGCAAGTAGGTCTTGTCATGTAATGTATGTTACCACTTACCACAGATATACATGCATTCCAAGTATTTTAAACAATTTTTAGAAATAATCATAGACTAACGCAATAATATATCTAAAAATTTTTTATTTTTATTTAGAGTCTCTTCACATTTTGAAGCTGGTTTGTGGTAAAACAGATGTTTCTAAGTGTCTTTATGATGATAAGAAGATGACTCCTTTACATGTTGTTATGAAGGAAACTGAATGTGATGAAGTTAGCATTGAAATATGCCGCTTTCTTTGCAATGAAAAAAAGATAGATCCCTGTATTAAGGACTGTGATGGCCTCAGTGCAGAAGACTATTGCGATGATAAGAATGATAAGCGTTTAATGATTCTCAGGAAAGCAAGCTCTTTACATTCCTATCCTCATACTGTGGGGAAAAAAGTAAAAAATCAAAAGATGTCCCTAAAAGCTATTCCTGAAAGTGAAGGTCTAGATCAAAAAGAAGCACTTGATAAAACAGACCAATTTAATGATTCTATTGCCCTTAACCCCGTCAAGAAAATTAGTCCAAGCAGCTCCCTTGACACCAGATCTACTTATAAGCGAAGTTCCCATCAAGCTGACAAATCAAAACGCACCCCTCTGCATGTTGAAACTATGACCTATAAGAAAATGGAACGGCTTTTAGTAAATGCATTGGATGAAGACTCAAGTTATTTTGCATCTAAAAGACCAGTCAATCCGACTAGTCATCCTACAAATGAAAACCATGATGTCAATGACATCATAGATGAGAGTGAAGGTGATGCTGAAGAACTTAAGATTTTAAATGAAGAAGCAAAGTATGAGGTATTTTGTTCTCCACGTGTCAAGAAATTTTTTGAAACTGCTCAACCTAAGTTAGTTGAGCGTGTGTTATGTACCATTAAAAAGCTTGCTTGTGGTCAGGCTAAAGCCAGACTTAACAAAAAGGCGCATTCAAAAGTTCAAACAATGTATCAAGGAAATGTTGATTCAGCAAAAAGAGTACTTTGGTATAAAACAGTTTTATATTGTCCTTCAAGACACAGCCATTGTAAAGTACTGGTGATTGTAGATGTAATAATAGATCACAAAAAATTAGACAAGGCAGTGAAAAATGCAGAGAATTGGATCAAGCGTGGTAGAGAAGAAGGTGGGGTGTATACAGTTGACCTCATTTCTGAAGGCAAACCATCATGTTACAAACCGGTCAGTGTGCCTAGTGAAACATCAAAGGAGGTCTTATTTATGATGAAAGATGAATATGGAGCAGTACCAATTTATTCTTTACCTGAGTATGTTCTAAAAATGATAAGAAACAGCCCATCAGTTAGTAGATTGGGCTTGCCTCTAAAGTTGTCATATCAAGAGCATTGCATTGTTGATATGGATCCTGATGAGACTGCTATTGCTAACATGTCTTACCAGGAGAGTACTATTTTAGTTGTTGGGCGTTCTGGGACAGGCAAAACAACCTGTTGCCTTTCACGTATGTGGGAAGAGTTTCGTCATTACTGGGAAATACTTAACGACACTGATGAACCAATCATTCCTCGCTTAACTCATTGGAGACAAAATAGCAAGATTGAAGAACCTTCTGAATCAAATGATGAACTTTTAGCCAGCTGCATGTCTAAAACAGAAGAACAAGCAGTTCCTGGCGAAGACAAATGTGATCACTTACATCAAGTGTTTGTAACCAAGAGTCCTTATCTTTGTCAAGAAGTCAAGCATAGGTTTTATGACTTGGTTTCCAGTCACCATTTATTGCACAAGAAGCATTTAGGATTAGAGCATGCAGCATTGCCAACCTCGTTTAATGATCTACAACATTTCCCCCTTTTTATTACTTCAAGGCGTTTGCTAATGTTGATGGATAGTACTCTTAGCAACGATTCTTATTTTAGATGGAACAACGGAGAGCTTCGTGACATAATTGCAAATTCAGAGCAATTGTTCAATGAAGAAAATATCGGCTCATTGGATGATGTAGTTGAGTTCGAGTCTGATTCTGAAGATGAAAATGAAAATGAATTACATAGAGATATTGTCACTGATGGCTGTAAATCTGGTAGAACAATGATAGAAGTTACTGCATCGTTATTTCAAAATCAAATTTGGGACAAGATAGCATCTCATAAAATTTTGAAAACAATGAAAATTGACCCGATTTTAGTTTGGCAAGAAATTAAATCCTTTATCAAGGGATCAATTCTCTCTCTTACATCTGTGAATGGCTATCTCTCAAAAGAAGAATACTTCAAAATCGGCAAAAGTAAGGCACCAAATTTTACACAAAACAGAGAAGTTATATACACATTGTTTCAAGAATACCAAAAATATTGCAAATACCCAATGGAAAAGGGACAGGAGTATTTTGATGAATGCGATTTACTTCACCATCTTTACAAGCATCGCTCAAAGTTTTCATGTATTATTCACAATTTTTATATTGATGAAGTTCAAGATTTCACTGAAGCTGAGCTTTATTTGCTTCTTAGTTTATCTCACTGTCCCAATGGGAACTTTCTGTGTGGTGATTCAGCCCAGAGTATAATGAGGGGAGTATCATTCAGATTTACTGATGTTCGTTCTCTGTTTTATGAATTAAAATGTTTGAAAATTTATCAAGGTAAAGTTGTTGTCCCTGATGAACTACACTACTTGACTGTTAATTACAGGGCACATGCTGGAATAGTAAATATTGCAAATAGTGTAATTGAGTTACTGGGTCGGTTTTTTAAAGATTCATTTGATGCTATACCAAAAAGTATTGAAAATATCACATATTCTGATGTGATGCCTACTCGTAAACCATTACTTCTCTGTCATGACAGAAGTCCTGAAGATATGTTAGCTAGGAATCAATTTGCAATGGATGAAGTGCGTGAGATTGATTTTGGAGCTCATCAAGCTGTCATTATTCCATCAAAAGAGACTGTAATTCCAGAATCACTTAAGAATTCTCTTGTATTTACAGTTCTTGAAGCAAAAGGGCTTGAATTTAATGATATTTTACTTTTTAATTTTTTTTCTAACTCACAAGTAAGGCATAAACGTGTTGCATTTTTATTATACAATTTTTCTTAATTATTGCAGGTTAGCATAAAAAGCTGGGAACTTGTGAGTGCCTATACTTGTTTAGAAGTTGAAAAATCTAAAAAGAAAATAGCCACAAAATATATTCCTGTTTTAAAAAATTTTGTTGAATCTGAGCACAAGGCTCTTAATGCTGAACTAAAATGTTTGTATACAGCACTCACTCGTGCGAAAAGAAATTTATGGATCTATGACAACTTTGATAATGAGAGTGAAAGTCAACATCCAATGTATGAATTTTTCGTTAAAAAAGGCCTAATAAAAGAATTCAATGAATCTGTCATTGACTTTACAACTGAAGAGAGCACAGCAGAAGAATGGAAGGCAGCTGGAGATTTTTTCATGTCAAGGCAATTGTGGGAACAGGCTCAAACTTCTTACTTGAGAGCTCAAGATGCAAGTCGTTTATACCAAGTTCATGCTTTTATGGAAGCCAAAAAATGTAAATTCTTGAATGCAGCAGGATACTTTTTAAAAGCTGGCAGCATTCTTAATGACAGAAAAGTGCTCATTAGAGCTGCAAAGTGCTTTAAAGCAGCAACTTTTAAAATTTCCAAGGATGAAAAAATACATTGCTATGATGAAATTGCTCAATTTTTAGAAAAACTTGGAAAAGTGAGCCACTAAATCTATGTATAACATGTTTTGATTTATTTTTAATTTATAGATAAAGCTAGCTGGCGAGTTTTATATATTAGCTGAAGAATATGACGATTTTATTAGATTATGTGAAGAAAGAAGAAGATGGAACAGGGTTATATCGCAACTTTTAGCTTCTAAACAGAATATCAGAGCACTAAAAAAAGCTATAGAATATGGAGTTAAAGTTACTATTGAAGATTTTGAAGTTAGAAATTTGGCCCATAAATGTGTAAGATATTTCATGAAAAATGAAAGCGAATCATTTGTTAAAGAAGTGATAACTAATGAGTTAAAAGACAAAAATTTAGTAGCTAAGTATCTGGCAGTATACAAGTTTCATGATGATGTCTTAGATTTTTACATTTTATCTGATGAATACAGCAAAGTTTTAGAATATTCTTGGAAACATGGTCTTTATGACCGAGGTTTAGAAATTGCAGAAATTATGGACCAAGACCAAGAAATAAAATTTTTACTTTGTCGTGCATATGCCAAACTAGCTGGTGAAGGTGATGTGAAAAAAACTGTAGAATCATTGGAGCGTGCAATGACTAAATTTTGTAATAAAAATTTTGATGCTCAAGTATTGATGCTAAAAGCTAAATTTTGTTGTGATATATCAGCATGCAAAAAGGCAATTTGTATGTTTGAAGAGCTCCAAAATGAAGGTGGAGTGATAGAAGCTGTAAATATTCTTTATTCCATGCTTGAAAACCCGTCTGCTACTGATGTGCTCAAATTTTCTTTGAGAGCAACACGATTGTCAAAAGTTTTCCAAACCAGAAAAATATCTCAGACTGAATCTAAATGGATATTGCTATACTTCGAATTAAACCAAATGCAATTGCTTCCAGATAATTCTGTTTTAGTTCCACCATGTCAAGCCCATTGGCTTCAACTACAATTAAATAGCACTTCTATTTCAAGAGAAAACTTGAATCAAAAAATTCAGGAACATTTTAAAAAGTGCTATGAAAGTTGGCTAACAAAAATTAGCGAGAAAGATGCTGCTGAATCACTCTCATTTTTTAGAAAAAGCTCCAGCTCTGAATACCCTTACATAATTGGTGATATTGAATTGTGTGCGACTTTTCATAACTTTTTTGATTCCAAGATACAGATGCATCTATTAAATATCTTATTGGCTCCCTTCACTCTTTTCAATATTTTTCAAAATTCTGCCTGGCAACAACATCATTTGCAATCTATTCAAGCTAACACAGCTATTCTTAACATGTGCAAGGCTGAGTATAAGAAAGTTTTGAATAAACAAATTTGCCAAAATTTCAATTCACTAGATCAGTGCATAAAATTATGGAGACTAAGTTTAATCACCACTGGTAGTACAATTGAACTTCGTGATGAATTAAAGAATACCAAAACAGTAGATATCAAGTTTTGTATTGAAGCTGATTCTAGTCATATTTTTTGCTCGTGGATTGATTTTCCCTTTTCCATGACAGAATTTTTAAGCAGCACCAATAATGAGCTACTTCAAAAAATAATTCATTCACCCGAAACTTTAGCATCTATATCATGTGAAAACCTTCTTTATATTTTAATAGTTCAGAGCATCTCTTCAATATTTTTTATTTCAATGTATGAACATGATAAAACATTCTTTGTGCCTCAAATTTTTAGCTTCGTTATAAACAACTTTAATATTCTAGTTTCTCCAGAGTTTTCTATAATAGAGTCATGTAGCAAGGAAAGTGAAATATATAGACTTAAGTACCGAGATGCTTTATCGCTCCTACAAAATATACTCATACTGCTTCAAAATAATTGTGCCTCCTGTTTTCTTAGTCATGAAAATCATCAAGTTATGATATGCTATTTCATTTTAATTCTGACACTGTATACCAATATACTTATTGCTGAATCCAAGCCAGATGGTTTTTATTATAAGAACTGCACCCTCTTAGCAACAGAATTACAACCATCTGCATCAGAAGTTGTACCATTCTTTGCAAAAAAAATTTACAATAAAATAATTGCTGTTTCGTGTTTTAAAGATATTTTTAATGTTTTCGATGAACTGCTAAGTGAAGCTCAAAATAAGACAATGAATCAAATTTGGTTTGATGGCAAGAAAATTGAATATAACCGAATTTTATGTGGTGACATAATTGAAGCACTTAAGTATTTTGAGCCAATTTGCAAAATTAAACAAGATAATATTTCTAGTAATGGTGATCATAAATTGGAAGACACTGCCAAGCAAGTACCGGTATTCAAGATCCTAGTTATACGAAAATCAGATCACAAGCATCAGGCTATGAAAACATTTATCAAAAAGCTAAAAGAGCATATGATTATTAATGATTTTTGCAAAGTTTGTGACCGCAAAATAAACTTTGAGCCAAAAAAAGAAAAATATAGGGAGTTGGAACAAAATAGTACATCATACGATCAACATGTTAAAACATTTCAACACAAACTGATCAGGGGGCAAAATGAAGAATTTAGAGAGAGGAGAGAATTACTGGAAGAAAAAGTGAAGCTTGCCTTTAAAAGCATAAAGCAGTTGCTTCATTCACCTTATTTACTACCAGATGATGATATTACTTTAATAAAATTTCATGATCAGTTATCAAGCATATTTCACCAAGCTAATGAGTTTGATCACATATATAGTAGACCTAAAACTACCTATCTCGATTTAGAAAAAATGGAATCTGATTACAAAAGTAGATCTCGTCATCATACATCAGAATATAAAGAACTGTTTGAGGAGTTAAAGAAAATTCAACAAGGTCTACAAATGGTTTCAAAAAATATTCAAATTGCCTCTCAGTTGCAGAAACATGAAAGTGATAGTTCCAGGCTCCGAGAACCTATTGAAGCTAATGCTGTTGTACTAGATCTTTTAGGTAGAAAAATGAAGTAGAAATAACTTATTAGTTAAGCTATTATCCTTAATATTGTGCTAGATCCATGCTGCTATAGTATTATACATAATTTTTGTTTGTGCCGCTATTGAGTGTATGTGACTAAAAAAGAGAACCTTTAGCTCTAGATAGACTAGATAGTACATTATAACTGAACTCATTGACTTAAGATTTAATGTCATGTTATAAATTAAAAGTGAATATTTATAGTGAGTTCGGTTTTGTGGCTATGAATGTTCCTAAATCCATTTAGAGGGTATATAATAATATTTTAAACACAAAAACCACAAACTGAAACACCATGAAAATTTTTGCAAAGTGGCTAATTTATCTGCAATGAATTTTTGGAAATAATTATCACAACAATGATCTGTCCTATATGTGCACATTCCTTTCCAACCACAGTATGCTAATTAGGTCACTAGACTTATAAATGAAAAAAAACATTAATAGTAATTTCATTAGTTAAAAGGCTCCATAAGCAGAATTGTCTGATATGAAGGTTGAAGAAGTAGCACTTGTTTCAAAAGCAATAGGGACAGACTGACCACAAAGTTTATGTGATACCATATAGCACTTTAATTTGGCGGAGTTTTATTTTGGCGATTGGCGGTTTGCAAGCAAAATCACCAATATCAAAACAAAACTGCCAATCATTATTGCGCATGCTCAGTAATGCACATGTACACAAAAACTGCCAAATTAAAAACCGCTAATTACAATTTTACAGCAAAATCGTCAAAATAAAGCACCGCCAAAATAAAGCGCTATATGGTACGTTTTTACCAGTTGGTATTTATTCTGATTCATTGGCAACAGGTTTGATCTGCTCTCCGTTGTGACTGTAGTTTTTTAGACCACTCTGCACTAATTTTCTTTTTTTACACAAAATTTTATAGGCAGTTAATTTGATTTACTTTAATTTAATAATGATTTTACAAGATGGGTAGGATATAAAGTACAGAAGGAGAGAGAGGGATAGACAAGGAATAGAGACATCTTGAAGAAATAACTGCAAGAGCTGCAGATACCCAGAGATAAAATATAAAGTTAGATATATATTACTGTTAGGATTTGTGTGTGCAAGCATGAATAAAAAGGAAAAATAACAGCAACATAATCAGTGATAATTAATAATTATATAATTTTTAAAAAATAATTGAAATAAAAGTACTGGATAGATTGATTGGTGATTGATTATAGAGTTGACCCGTGATTAGTTCTGAGCAGAAAACCTGACAAGATGTGAGTCATGTAGCAATCTCAGGGGGAGAACGTCTGATTCCCAGCAATAATTGGGGACTTCTCTAACACCTGAGGTTACCTCCTAACAGGGAGCTGCCTTGTTCACCAAGTGACCCTAGTTACCACAACACCTGCTGGACCTGGGTGGGGGCATAACAGTTAGAAACCACGAGAGAGTTGCGAGTGAGCAGGAGACTTTTGGTGACAGCTGGAGCAGGGGCATAAAAAAGTGGAAAGTACAGGGATCTGTGGAATCAAAATAGTCTAAAAAATGAGATCATAAAAATCTCTTTATTTGTACTTTGATAGTGGGCAGGGAGAGAGAGAGGTCAATACATAATTATTGATGCATGCATTGGTTCTTTAATTTTGATAATTCATTAGCTATTGAGGCAAGTTTCACGATGCAAAAGAACTATATGTATTTTGAAGGCAATGTGACCATAGCAATTATCATCAATCATAATTTCAAAAATTGAGATTAAAATCAAATATAACAAATACTACCAAAAGGTGGATTTGCTGGGTCATATACAGCAGATACTATTATCTACAATTACTGTCACAAAAAGTATTAGCACAACACCTCCTCATACCACAGGCCACACTCTTCATTGTACCAGGAATTTTCCTGGAAATACTACAATACCTAGGAAAAATATCAGCTATATAATGTAGTTTACATAATGGATGTAGATAAAGAAATTCATTATTAGATATTATGGATTATATTTTGTCTTTGCACCATTGTGCTATTCAGCACTTCTAGTCACAAGAAAATAGTATAAACCCACCTGCATATGGGTACCATCCTCCTGTTAGTCTTGTATATTAGACTACCTGTATATGTATGCAGTGTGGCTGGTGGCCCATGCCACATGCTTGATGCATGTACAGGTGGATTGTACCCAGGTGCGTTTTAAGGTGGATTCATTATTTTTTGTGACCAGAAGTGCATGACCATACCTACATAACTCAGTAGTGTTAATGTGCAATGCTTATGAACAAATGCACTTTACAAGTCTATTGATTTTATGCTCTGTCTTTTGTGCTACCAAAACAATTGCTATAATTACTACAATAAGTACAAACTGCTTTACATGTTTTGCATCAATTCATTGTCTTTAATATAATATGGACCATAGACCACATTAAATTGTGTACAATGCCCATACTTTAGCATGTATAAATAAAAGGTCAATCTGAGCGGATACACCTGAAATATGCATGGGCAATATTTCTTGGAAATGTTTATATAAGCATGCATATACTGGTAGTATAATAGGTATAATAGCTAGATCCCAGCAGTAACCTTTGTACAGTATTATCTCAATCTTTGTGAAGTAAACTTGAGCTCTATAGCAATGGCTAAAACGTAAGACTTTTATACCAGATGATTAGATCTATACATGATGATTTTTTGATATAGGATTGCTAAAAAATTGTTTGATTCTGTCTTTGTTGACATGCCAAGAGATATTTTTGGTATAAATACTCCAGAATCACTTGAGTCACTACTTTTAACCCTCTGGAATAAAGAAAACCAATCAGAATTGAGGATACTGGTCACTGGGAAGACTGGTCAAGGGAAATCTACCCTCATCAATGGCATCTTGGGATGTGAAGTTGCCAAGGAAGGGGCCCAAGCGACAAGATGTACCACTGAAGTTGAAGTGCATTCTAAAGTCATCAAAAACATCTCAATCAAAGTGTTTGATTCCCCTGGTTTACAAGATGGCACATCAAATAATGAAGCCTACATTGAGAAAATGAGAAATACGTGCCAAGAGCTTAGTCTGATTGTTTACTGCACCAAAATGACCAACACACGTCTAACAGATGACGATAAGAATGCTATGAGAGTGCTAACGGAAGCGTTTGGTGAGGGTTTTTGGAATTACACCGTGTTTGTCCTCACGTTTGCTAACAGAGAAGACGTTTCAAGACGAGATGATAGAGATGATTCAGAATCAGACACAGAGAATGCTTTGGATGAAGAGTGGACAGAAGTTGAGAAAAAAAGATTCCAAGGTCGTCTTAAAATATGGAAAGAGGGCCTTCAGAGCTTTCTTATTAGTGAAGTTGGAGTAAATCCTAACATTGCAACCAAAGTTCCTGTTGTACCAACTGGAGATTACAAAAAAACAAAGAGATGTTTGCAACCACTTCACCTTCCTGATCGGGACAACTGGTTCAACTGTTTTTGGGAAGCTTGCTGCCTACGAGTGAAAGATACACATCTCTTTCTTAAAATAAACAGTGATCGTATGGTCGCTGCAAATAAAGCTGACGATAAAGCAAATAATGGAGATTTGGAACAAGAGAAGCAAGTATGTCATGTAAACAGTAGAATAAACTTAATTTAATTGTTTTTAATAGGGTGACTTTAGTCATCAAGGTGATGCACAAGGAGAATCACAATGTGATCAAGAACAAAGAGAAAAAGAAAAAGGAGAGGTTTTAAAAGGACAAGGCATAAAAGTGACTTTCTGATTATAAGAGTGATATATTTATTTTTAGAAATATTAGGTAGAAGCACAAGCTGTCAGAGAGAATGATACAAAACCAGTAAATATTATATTTATAGTCATTACAATACTTAATTGCCCTTTATATTAAAATTTAGAATTTTATTCGTGCAGCATTGAAATATGATGATGATGATGATACTGATATTCCCATACCACAAGTAAATTATTATACTTTTTTGCATAATAATACAACACTTTAAAGGAAGAAGATAATAGTGATACAGATGAAGATTGTGAGAAGGTATAATAAATTAAATAGTTTTGTATAATTTATGCATAAAACTTAAGCATGAAGACAGCACTATAGAGGTGGATCAGGTAGAACATAATGGTATTGTAGTAACTATTTATTATACATTTAGATACCATCATTAGATGTACCAGAAAAAACAGACCATAATATCCCAGAATTGAAGGTATATAGATAAAATTAGAAACTATAAATAATTACAATATTATTAGATAGCATCTGCAGAAGATGAAACAAAAGAAAAAGAGAAAACACAAAAAAAAAGAGAAAACAGAGAAACCAGAAAAATTAGAAAAAGCAGAGAAACTACAAGTATATAGAGTTTTGAAATTTAAATAATTGAAATTGTACTGTGTGTAGGGTGCACAAAGTTTTAATGATATCAGAAATGTTAGTTAGAGCTATTTAGTCTCTGGTAATAAAGTTATAATCATTCTACTCTAGATGTTTTTGCAAATGGAAAAAAAAGAAGCAACTAGTCAAGCACCAATTACTCGCACACGCAGAGCAACAAATCCACTCTTTATGGTAATAAGTATTAATATTAATGCTTACAAAATGCATACACAAAGTATAAAATCATTAGTACAAAGTTACAGTTCATTGTACACATAGCATGAGGCATGAATGCATATTTATCAGGCTCAAGATTTTATGTAACATTGTGATGCTGTTTCAATCATGTAGAGAAAAAGTAATTCCGCTCAAGATTTTCCAACAACTACATCAAAGGTAAAAAAAACATTACATTATTTAAGCCATAAATTTTATTTGTGCTCTTGTTTAGGACGTACAAAATCTTGGGATACCAGCTAGATCAAGTTCTCGACATTCACTACAACTGAAGTCGTCAAAGGTATATTACCTGTAATTATATAGTCATAATTATAAAAATATTTATAGCAAAGTCCACCAATTTCTCCAAAGCCCAAGAGAGAAAACAAAACACTAAAGGTATGGAATATATAAAGGGATTAAATATTACTGTTTTACTATATAAAGGGATTAAATATTTCTGTTTTACTATAATTATAGCTACCAGAACATACTAATGATGTGAGTATAAGTCCAGGATTAGGCACAGCTAAATGTGAATCAGATTTATCATTGATACAAGGACAAGACCAAAATAAATCTCCATCTTCTACTATACAATCAATAGGAGCGGGAACTTCTTTTAAAAGTAGCACCTCATCCTTACATAGCGAATTGAGCCCAACCAAATCAACAAAATACCTTTTTGATCAAGGTATTGAGATTAATGAAGATTTTGTCAAAGAAGTTACAGCAGAAACATTCAGGAAAAAATTTGGAGACAAGGTAGCAGATCGTTGCAAAGTAATCATCAATTCTATGAAAAAGCCAGTAGATTGGTTTTTAAAAATATTGAGTAACTAATAAATTATAAACATGAAAACTGTAGTGACTGCTTATTTTAGCTTATTTGATTGATATAAATAAAAAATTAATGCTTTTTTGTTAATTTCCTTTTAAATTGTTTCTAAATTAAAGTTCTCATTACTTTATACTTGATCAGAATAATCACATGCATGTGCACAGATAGATACTTAATTTTAAATACCTAGATTAGCATGCAATTAGTTTTTTTTCAACTAAAAACCCTATTAAAGTGACATGCTAGCAAAATTAGATCTATTTTTATTCTAGTTTAAATAATTAGCATCTAATTACTGCATTGTACTGAACTCTTGCTTATTGTCTTACATCAACACTTCAATCTATTGGCGTTCAACAATAATGAAGCTTTTTACTTCTAAATATTAATAGTTTCATATAAAGGTGGAGCAGTTGATGAGCCAGTAGGAGGACTAGCTGCAGTAATGGTGTGTCTCTGAGGTAAAGAATATGCCACATTCTCTTGTACATTAACAATTGAATCAATTGCTGCATATGCTTCATTAGATACTGAAGGAATTGATGCTATATTACCTAAAACTGTCACTTCTTTTTCACCAGCAGACTCTGAAACAAAACATTCAATTAATAAAGTAAATATAAACATACTTTTTCTCAAGCAAAGATATTGTAAAACAATAATAATGATGAGTATTATAAATACTATCAGTAATATAAATATACTGATTGT